AGAGAGAGAGAGAGAGAGAGAGAGAGAGAGAGAGAGAGAGAGAGAGGGGCGGTGAATTTGCCGCGACCCTCCGTGCAGGTTGCCGCCTCTCTCTCTTTGTTGCATACTGTAACGGTGCAGACCAGAACAAGAACCGACCTCTTAATACAAAGTACAAGATAGCACAGCGGAAGACTTAGATACCAATGATCCGAACAATCAATATTACAATGCAGCCCTGAACAAACATCATCATCATCGTTACACGGTGGGAATGGGGTCTGGCGCTTCACACAGGAAGACTGCGCCAACCCCTACCATACACAGACGAAGAAGGGGGTTAGACGAAGAGGAGGGGAAGATGGGAATGTCGTCAACACCAAGTCTTCGGCACAGGCCCAAATAGTCCCTCGTCGAAATGTCTGAATCCCAAATGTCAAGTCTGGATCCAATGTCGTCAAGTCCCAAGTCACAACTCCCTCTCTCTGTACTAGCCCGCTGATACTAAAAAGTCAGGTGGTGAGAGGGGAAGAAGAGATGGTGGACTTAGAAGAAGAGGAAGAAGAACTCTCTCTCTCTCTCTCTCAGTCCTGTACTAACCTGTGAAGTTGGCGCCTTGATGCAGGTACCTCGAAGATGGAGCTGGAGCTATGGCGCCACAGGTAAGTCTCGCTGGCCTCCGCCAGCCATCTCTCCCAACTCTGCTATCTACCACCTACTAGCGCCCAGCGCTGAAGACTACTGCTATGGATACTAGCGCCTAGCGCTGAAGACTACTGCTAGCGCTAAGCTACGCCCTGCAGCGCTCCTCCTGAGTGCTGCGCTGAATCCTGAAGACTACTCGTGCCTACTGTCCAACTACCTGCCCGTGAAGTGCATGGGAACTTCCTATGTACTACCGGGGGTGCCTCCTGGACTGCCTCGCACTCCTGACTGCAGGCGAGGCAGTCCAGGAGGCTGCTCTTGCCAATGCCGAAGNCTCCTGACTGCAGGCGAGGCAGTCCAGGAGGCTGCTCTTGCCAATGCCGAAGGGAGGCAGGGGCTGCAGCTGCAGCTCCTGCTCGAGCTGTCGTGGGGAACATGCTAAAGATAGCCTATTCCGAAAACCCTGTTTTTGTGCCTGAGTCCTAGGGTCGGTCGAAACGATGAGGGTCTGAAAATGGACCTCCATTTCAGGCTGAAAAGCCTCTGGGCCTGAAAGGCCCAGAAATAGGCTGAAAACGGAATAGGGTCTGCATACCCTCGTTTTTCAGTTTTAGGCTGAAACGACCGGGGCCTGTAAGCCCTATTTTTTAGGCTTTTAGGTTGAAAGTGCGGGACGGGCCATGCAGGGCCCGTGTGGCTACGCAGTATGCCACCCCCCCCCCCTCCTTGAAAGACCGAGCTTACCTGTGAGGGCGAAGTTGACTGGCTGAGGGAGGGACCATAGTCCGGGTGGGAGGGGCCGGTCGTGAAGCTTCCTGAGCTAACCTTTGCTTCTCATAATGCGCATAGATCACCTGTGCGAATGCTTTCAAATCTGCTCCTGAAATCCACCGAGTGTCGTCGCGATCGCAGGCTTTGAATGTGCTGTCGGTGATGACGCGGTCAACTTCCTGATGACCATCCATAGAAGGAGGGTCCTGCGATCGTCGGCCCGGAAAGTCGTCGCTCTTAGCTGGCGTGTATGTTGCCAGCTTTGAGGCATCCAGTCGATGGGCCGTCAGATGCGGGGGAATGTTGATCACAAATGAAGGGCCATCGAGCTCATCGCTCGCGGCTGATGTTACAGGCCATGGTCCAAACCACTTGGGAAACAGTTTGTGTGAGACCTCTTGTTCCAGTGCAAACTCTTCCGTGGAAACCCAAACCAGGTCGCCGGCGCGGATGGGACATGGCACGCGATGCCTGTTGGCTTGCTGCTGCATGCGGACTTGAGCCTTTTGCATATTTGCGCGGGCTTGAGCCAACAATTCCCCTGTACTTCCGGACGGAAGCGGGAGAGCAAGCGGCATCGATGTCGGCTGGTCATGGGAGGAGAAGGTCGGCGAAGATACGGCCTTTCCGTCCACCGTGGTGCAACTCGAATGGAGTCACGCCGATCGCCGGGTGCACCGAAGTGTTGTAGGCGAACTCGATGTCGGGGAGGCGGTCAGCCCAATCTTTCTGGTCCGGACGGATGAGCGTACGAAGCATCATTTGAGCAGTTTGATGTGCCCGCTCCGTCTGCCCGTCTGTCTGTGGATGTCGAGCCGAACTTGGCTTCATCTTCGTGCCGGACTCCTGCATGGGTGCAGTCCAAAATGCCGACATGAAGCGAGTGTCGCGGTCGCTGACTATGTCTTCTGGTACACCATGGCCGCAAATCCAGCCGGTGTGCAGGAGGCGTGCCAGCTCAGGAGCCGTGGAGTAGTATTGCAAGGGAGAAAACGCGAGTAGTTACTCAATCGGTCCACGACCGTGAGGATGCCGTCATGTCCGAGGCGGTCGCGGGGGAATGGAGAGACCGGGTTCCTGCAGGATCGGCATCGGGCGCAGCTCGTCGTAGGGGTTGCGGTTGCGGGGTTTGCTTCGACGCCAAACTTCGCAAGAGTCGGAATACCTCGTGACATCGGTGATGAGGTCGGGCCATCGGAATCGCTGTCGAGGCCGTGCAATAGTGCGGTTGACTTTGAAATGGCCGGCAAGTCGCGAATCATGATACTCGCCGAGGAGGCGAGTCCGAAGACGGCGGTCGTGTGGGACACATAGTAAGTCCTTGCCCCGCGAGTGCAGGAGCAAGTACCCATCGACGATGTGATAGTGGCTGGCCGGCGGGTGATCCAAAGATAGCTGCGCATATAGTGTGGCGAAGTCTGGATCGGACTCGTACCCCTTGATGAAGTGTCGCTGGAGCTCCTCATCGAATGCGAAGGCATGATGTGTCATAGCGCAAAGATCAGGTCTTCGCGAGAGTGCATCTGCTGCGCGATTGGAGAGGCCGGAAATATCTTTCGGTGTGAAGTCAAATTGGTCAATAAAGTACATCCATCGTCTGATCGTGTTGCTCACCGTATCCTGCGTCTTGTAGTAGGTCAATGGATTGTTGTCTGTAACCCATGTGAACCTACGACGCCCAAGGAGGAAGTGTCGCCATCGCTTGAGAGCCATGACGAATGCGAGCAACTCCATCTTCCTTGCATCATCAAGCGAGTTGATGGGAGACACTTTGTGGCTGAAATACTCCACAGGGTGCCAGTCGTCGCTGTCGTGTTGTTCCAAGACTGCCCCAATGCCATAGCCGGAAGCGTCAGTCATCGCTCTCGTAGGCAGGGTGGGGTCATAGATGCTAAGGACGGGTGCCATGAGCATAGCCGTCTTAAGTGCTTGGAATGACCGGCGTGCGTCGTCATCGAATACGAATGGCACGTTTGGCGATTGCAATCTCGTCATAGGTGCAGCAATCCTCGAGTATCCGGTGATGAATCGCCGATAGTAGCCTGCCAATCCCATGAATGAACGAACGTCCGTGCTGTTGGTGGGCTCGGGCCATACTCGTAGGGCCTCGATCTTGTCTGCAAGCGGACCGATGCCTTGCGGCGCTACATAATGTCCCAAGTACTCCATCTCCTGCGCGCGAATTCGCACTTGTCGCTGTTGGCTTTGTACTTGGCTTGTCATAGCCGCTCCAAAACGGTGTGCAGGTGTTCCACATGCTCCTCCAAACTCCGACTATACACCAGGATGTTGTCGAGGTAGATAAGTACGTATCGATCCAGCATGTGTCGGAATTTCGTTGTCATAGCCGCTTGGAAAGTGGTCGGGGCATTTGTAAGGCCAAATGGCATAACCAGCTATTCGAAATGCCCATATTGCGTCTTAAACGCGGTCTTGTAGCGATCCTCCTTCCGAATCTCGAGTTGGTGATATCTCGACTTGAGGTCCAGCTTGGAGAAGAACTTAGCGCCGCCCAATCGTTCGAGAAGGTCGTCGATGCGTGGGAGAGGGCCGGCGTTTCTGATCTTCTGCGCATTGAGCTTGCGATAATCGATGCACAACCGCAAATCCTTGTTCTTCTTCCGGACGAAGAGAACATGAGCACCGTTTGGCGATGAGTTAGGCCGTATCCAGCCTTTCTCTAGAAGGTCGTCGAGTTGTGCCCGAAGCACACTTAACTCTTCCTCGCTCATTCGGTAGATGCAACCGCGCGGAGGTACGGCCCCATCCTCGAGGATGATCTCGTGGCGGATGGTCCGATCCAGTACTACTCCGTGCGGGCCTTCGAACACGTCACTTTAGGTGTCGAGAAGCTCGGTGATGCGTGGATCCGAAGATGAGTCCGTCGGTGAAGCATCATGGGGCGGGAGGGCGTCGAAAAAACACACCCCCATCTCCTCGATGTCGTCTCTGATGATGGAAGCTCGCATGCTTGCGGCGGATACCACGTGACAGCTGATTGAAGGGTGTCTAGTTCTAACCTGTGAAGTTGGCGCCTTGATGCAGGTACCTCGAAGATGGAGCTGGAGCTATGGCACCACAGGTAAGTCTCGCTGGCCTCCGCCAGCCATTTCTCCCAACTCTACTATCTACCACCTACTAGCGCCCAGCGCTGAAGACTACTGCTATGGCTACTAGCGCCCAGCGCTGAAGACTACTGCTAGCGCTAAGCTACTCCCTGCAACGCTCCTCCTGAGTGCTGCACTGAATCCTGAAGACTACTCGTGCCCACTGTCCAACTACCTGCCCGTGAAGTGCATGGGAACTTCCTATGTACTACCGGGTGCCTCCTGACTGTAGGCGAGGCAGTCCAGGAGGCTGCTCTTGCCAATGCCGAAGGGAGGCAGGGGCTGCAGCTGCAGCTCCTTCTCGAGCTGTTGTGGGGAACAGGCTAAAGATAGCCTGTTCCGAAACCCCTATTTTTGTGCTTGAGTCCTAGGGTTGGTCGAAACGATGAGGGCCTGAAAATGGCCCTCCGTTTCAGGCTGAAAAGCCTCTGGGCCTGAAAGGCCCAGAAATAGGCTGAAAACGGAATAGGAGTTGCAGACCCTCGTTTTTCAGTTTTAGGCTGAAACGACCGGGGCCTGTAAGCCTTATTTTCTAGGCTTTTAGGTTGAAAGTGAGGGACGGGCCCTGCAGGGCCCGTGTGGCTACGCAGTATGCCACTCTCTCTCTCTCTCTCTCTCTCTCTCTCTCTCTCTCTCTCTCTCTCTCTCTCTCTCTCTCTCTTTGAGACTCTGTAGTTGAAAACGGGAATGAATCCTCCCGCTTTCGCGAGAAGATGCATTCCCATCTCTCTCTCTCTCTCTCTCGCGCGCGCGCACGCCTATTTTCGTTTTTTACAGTTTGTTTCTCTTAAAGTTTTTTTTTTTTTTTTCTTTTTTTGCTTGTTTTTTTCTTTTTACTAATGTCGTTGTGTTTCTTTCAAAGGGCAGCTCCGGGAATTGAACGCTCGGTAGTCTGAGCCTCGACACGGATCCGCCTACCGGTCGGCCGAGGCTCAGACTTGATAGCTGGGCCAGGTACTCGTGGTTTAAAGCGGTTTCAACCAAGGAGATACAATCTTTTTGCCCTCCTTTGAAATCTTAGCCAAGTAGTTAGTTCGAATCCATATCTTAATGAACCACTGCCGGGAGCGACCCCTCCGCCCGGTGGAGTTCCTCCAGTCCGAGACCAGCAACAATCTAAGATTTGACCTGACTTGTTGCTGTTGTTGAAAAACAGTCACCCTCTCCCCCCTGAAAGTACTGGCATTTCTTGCTTTCCAAATTTCATAACACAATATGCCCCTGCAGACCAATGCCAGATAGCCCACACCCTCACTGTATTTCAAGGCAGCATAAGGGAGAAGGTCGTAGAGGATCCAATCGCCATTCCATTCGAAGGTGTTACCTACCATATGTTGCCAGTGCTCTGACCACCACATCCATAGTTCATCCGCCAAAGGGCAGCAAGTCCACAAATGGGCATATGATCCCCAACCCCATTGACAGCGAGGGCAGGTAGGAGGTACGACCAATTCTTTCTCAGACAGCCAGTGAGCAGTCGAGATCACCAACAAAGATTGCATCCACTGTAAACTGGCATTCTTCTTAGAGGGTATTTTCCCGAGGGCTTTCCACATAGCAGGCCAGTCAGGCAACTAGCTATCTGGACCTTTCAACTTACTAAGACGTCGAGTTGCCAGAGCCAGTGGTGTCAAAGTAACTCGTTGCTGGAGTGATCTCACCCCTACTTTTGGTTGGTACTGAAATAGGAAAAAAATGTTTTGTTTCCCCACACACTCAGATTCCAGTACCCACTTGTATTGCATTGGTTTTGTCTTGAAGTCAGCCCCCATGCCTAACCGGTGGCAAGACCTGTCCCCTTGCAGCACCCTGGCTTCCTCCAAGCCGACCGTGGTCTGAATTACTGTTTCCTGGGTTTTCCTTAAACAATCATCACTTACTAGGAGCCAATCTGCCCTAAGTAGAGTACTGGCTCAGCTTAATTAGTTCATAAGGCCTGCGGACTACCATAAGGGAAACCTAGGCCACTGTTGGCCATCGCAACTTGATACTTAAGGGTACGGTGTTATTTCTTATATTTTTAGAAGTACTTAAAAAAAAATAATAAACTCTAGAAAATAAAATAAAAACAAGTTTATAAGGTGGTTACAATGCCTAGCATGAGATGCACAAACAACCTGAGGTAGCAACCTCAGAGCGCAACCACATAACTTGCACTTGTGACGATTTGGTTGGGAAGTGGGAGCCATATACGAATACGTTGTAGCCGTATTCTGGCGTAAGTGACACCAACTTCCCAACCGTGTTGTTTTTTTCCATTCCTCACTGATGCTACCGGCTGACTCCTGGCTGGTATCGCCCACCTGCTATAGCGGGTATCGCACCTGCTGGTGGGTGCAGCTCCCGCATGTTCCCTCGCTGGAGGCATGAGCACAGATTGGCTCCCGGGGGGCAAATAACACCACAAAACACGCAATTCTACAAGACCGGGCCGTAGTGCACGACCGCCACACACACACACACGCACTCTATCGCCTATCATGTACCGAACTGTGGGTCAAGAACCATGTTGGATACGTGTTGGTTCATGTTGGAGGCCTGTATGAAACCATGTTGGAGTTGTTGAGAAGAAGTTTGAGACCTGTTGGAAACCATGTTCGACTCGTTGGGAATAAGTTGATAATGTTGATGAGTAGTTGAACACAGCAAAAGACCCAGTTTCAACAATTGGTCACAGCCCTTCTGGCGTGAATAAGTTAGACATCAAAATGAAATTTTGTTGAATTTCGGCGACGATTTTTTTGTTGGTTTCACTCCTCTACTTTGATTCGCCCTGTCAGCTCCGGCCCCACAACCTTCCAATACTTAGTGTGCTCCTCTTCCGAGAGGACTCATGAACCTTCACTTAGTTCAGTTGAACTTTTTAAGATTGCTCCCCAATATCTAGGGATAGTCTGGGTAATCTTTTCCAAATTGGCCGAGACTTGTCTTAGTCTGGGAAACTTTTGCCTTAGTTCCTCACTTGTGAGCCAATCGTTCTTACTGAAATCCCATATATGCTTGATCTGAAAGACACCCCTTTCTATTCATGTACGCCCAAAATGCCCCCCTCAATCCTTTGCCAAGAACATGTCCCCTCTCTCGTTGATCAATGATGGGTTCTCAAATAAAAACTGATTGGCCACTTCCTGTCTTGTATTAGGCTTTTGACTTATTGAAGGGCGTACTTTCTTCCATGCTCTCAGAATACTTCGCCAGGTTCTAGATTTTATTCTTCGGTTCAGAAAGGAAGGGATGAGGCAACACTGCCAAACACTTGTGTCTTCACTCAAAGACCATTCCTGACCCAAGATATACTGTGCAAATTTGACTCACAGCTTAGAGGGGTCTTCAAATTGAGCCTTAATTACCCATTTGGCCAAAAGGGCCAGGTTTTGATTATGGGGGTCAAGAATCCCCAGTCCTCCCTGGGAGCGAGGAAGGGTAACTGCTTCCCAGACCACCTTGGGGATATACCCCTGATCCTCCTCAGCAGAGGGTTTGCGAATTTCAGAATATGCCTCGTCTCCCAGCATGCAGACCGATAGAGGAAACCAAAGCACAGAAAATGCCGCTGTTGATAAAACCAAGGCTCTCCCAAATAAGGAGAGCTTATAATTTCCGAGTCATCCCTAGATTATTGCGATAATCCTGTTAGACAGTAGTTGACCTTGTGTTTTTGAACAGTCCTTGAGGGCTACTTGAACACCAAGAAATCTTTTTGAATTTTCTGTCGGGACTCTTCTAAGGCCCCAGTCTACTTTCAACCCAAAGATATCTGGTAGGAAGTAGACCGATTTGGACCAATTTATTGATACCTCCGATAATATACTATTCATCCAAAACCCTTCTCAACTCTCCTAGGGAGGAGCGGGAGTTGTCGCAAGCCACCGTAAGGTCGTCTGCGATTGCTCTTGCTTTCCAATGAAGGGAAGGGCTAACAATCAATCCTGTAATATTATCATTATATCTTATGTTATCCATTAATACTTCTAATTGAATAACAAATAGCCATGGGGAGAGGGGGCATCCCTGCCTCAGTGAACGGGTCAGGTGAAACTCCTCGGACAGCTGGCCGTTGACCATAACAACCGAGGTTGCGTTGGCATAGGCTGCGTGTACCCATTTGGCAAAGCCCGGACCGAATCCCATATTCTTCAGAGTAGTGGTGACAAAAGTCCATCCAACTTTATCATATGCCTTTTCCATGTCTAGCATTAGGATGGCTACTTCTCTCTTTTCGACTCCGATTACTTCCAATGCTTGCATCGTTGTTAGGATGTTTTCAAAGATTGACTGACCTTTTA